TTTCTAGAGTCATTCCAGTTGATGATATTCAGGTCACAGAGCATCTATCATATAAGGAAGCTCCCATTGCTATACTAGATAGACAAGTTTGGAGATTGAGAACTAAAGACGTATCTTCGGTTAAAGTACTTTGGAGGAACAATAATGTGGAGGAGATGGCTTGGGAAGCTGAAGAAGACATGAAGTCTAGGTATCCTCACTTGTTTCCGCTTTTGGAGGAGGATCGGACTGAGACATCACAACCTTAGGTACGTATATGGTACTTGATTCTTATGTTAGTTATTGTTATTGATCGTGTGAGACCATGATGATTGTGGACTTGTGTGGCTTTGTATTGTTGGTTTTTATGTCTGACAAGTTGGTAGTGGTACCATTACAGAGGAGACTCTGTCAAAATTTCTATAAATATCTAGGAGTTTAACATTCGAGGACGAATGTTTCTAAAGGGGGAAGATTGTTACACCCTGTACATCCCAAGGTGACGTATAATGAATATGGGAATTGTTAATCATGATTTAAATGAGTTTAAAGTCATAATATGACTATATATGATGTTTGGATAAAACACATAAAGTTTGGGGAAAATCGGATTAAACTTGTGGAAAACCCGACTAAGAATTTGCCCTATAACAGAGATGTTTGAGAAATATATTTCATATGCTATATGAGGTTTTTCTCAGACATATTATATATCAAATTGAAGGTCTTGGAATGAAGTTTCCAACGTTCTTAACCGTTCATTCATACGACATCCAGATAAAAAGATATAAGCGTCGGAAGATGGACGAATGAGAGGGTGCCAAGCTAGCACCTTTTGACTTTTCAAAAGTTTGATAAATAGTTTTAACTCGTCTATCTCTCTTTATTTTACTTAGAATATGACCAGAGGCACCATAAAAGAACGGTCCTTGAGCTCTCTTATAGCTTCAAACAATACTAACATCTCGGGTATGAAGTCGAGAAGCGATAACATCAGAACGATCCCTACGACGTAAGTATCACTATATCGCCTCTCTTTTTCTTTGTAGTTTGAGTTTTGGAATGTATTTAATAGTTAACAAAATTCCTAATTTCTGTATTTAATCTTTAAAATATCAAGAAAAGTTGATAAATTCATTTCCTAATAGTTAGACCTCACGGGATGATCGGAAGCCATGAGTTCGAGTTATTTGACTTGTAGTGGACTGTTTTGTGGGCTGTTTTGTGTTGCTTTTGGGCTGTCTATTGTGGTGCTTATTTATGGAGTTTGGAAGGATAAAAATGGCGTGGAGAAACGCCACATGTGGTAGGGTAGTAGGTTGGTCGCTCGTCGTTGTAGTTGCAGGCTAATTGATAATTTGTTGATTGGGTGTATTATGGTATATTTGGGGTTTTTGTTGTATTGAAGGTCCCAGATTGTAATTAGGTTTGTTTTGAGTTTCTGATTGTATTATGTTTGTATCTCGCCTATAGTAGGCTTGAGGGAGCAGTAAAATCAGGGGAAATGCTACCCGTTTTATTTTAGAATCGAGTTATCGTTTGAGATACGTAATATACTACCGCCATCTAAATTGTACACGTATTTATTTGCTATAGGGTTGGTGCGCTAGTTGTCATAAGCTTGTTTTTGAGTTGCATTGACGACTTGAGGTATGTTAAGGCTATCCCTTCTTTCTTTTTGGCATGATCCAAATGATACAAACGAAACGAGCAAAATACGCAACTTTCATAAATGACTCTATTCATAGGAATACTAGGGGTGTCTATATTCTTGATTCCCCATGTGAATTATTATTATATCCTTTGTTCATGGGTCTCAGAAAAATACGTCTTTTAAAATGTTTGTCCGAAAGGCATATTGATTTTATGATATTCGAGAAATCTTATTAACGTATTTCTTATGCATTTCATGCATTTATACATGTATATTGACCCATGACCAGAAGGCGTTATATACGCATATATTATATGTATATGGGATATAGGAAAAGGTTAAGGCGTTATATACGCACCACCACCTGATCAGCTGGTATACTTTGATGATTTGCCCAAAGTGGCCGAGATGATATGATGGGATGCCCTCAGAGGCTTGATGATGTTATGTATACCTATACTTATGCATGATACATCATTTACACGCATGTGCATGATATTATAAATGTTTCAGGATTCACAAAGTTATTTAGACTCACAGGTGGAATTCTTTACCCCATGCTTCATCTATGTCTTTTATGTACTGATTTTCATGCTTTACATACTCAGTACATTATTCGTACTGACGTCCCCTTTTGCCTGGGGACGCTGCGTTTCATGCCCGCAGGTACAGGTAGACAGGTTGACGGTCCCCCTTCTTAGGATCCTTGATCAGCGAGAGTTGGTGTGCTCCATTTGATCCGGAGCTGCTTTGAGTTTTGGTACGATGTGTTTACATATATATATGGGTACGACGGGGCCCAGTCCCATCCTTTATACAGTTGTACACTCTAATAAAGGTCTGTAGATAGTCATGTATAGTTAGATAGTAGGTGACCTTGTCGGCTAGACTTACCGTATTCTCTCTCTCTCTCTCTCTCTCTCTCTCTATATATATATATATATATATATATATATATATGTGTGTGTGTGTGTGTGTGTGTGTGTGTGTGTGTGTGTGTGTGTGTGTATCTTTTGGGCATGTTTTCTCACGCAGGTTGTTCATATGAATTAGTAGTTTATTTCCAGACTTTATGCATGACCTACATTTATTTCATATTTATATCTTAGACGAATGCTTAGGGGTGTTCGATAGGTAGAACTCGGGCACTCGTCACGGCCCATCGGTTTGGGTCGTGACAAATGATGTGAGAAATAGAGGTTAAAAGTGATTGATTTTTAGGGGAAAGGTCTGTGAAAAAGCAGGGTAGCAGGTGAGACTGGTGCTGCAAAACAAAAATTTGTTAGATTAGTCAAGTACACAGCATTGCATACATAATCTGTTAGATAAGAAGGTGGATTGTGTTCCCTAGCAGATCTCCTTAATGCAGTTTCAAAGGGAATAGGAGATGGATAAGAAGTGATCTTGGAGATAGGGGATGAATGTGGAACGGTTCTATGTGATGTTATTATAGAAGGGAGAGTAGGGCTAGGACTGAATTACGAGGAAAAGGTGTGATCAGTCTGAGAGAAAGAGTGAGTTTGGTATGATATAGTAGAAACCTCTTTAGGGAAAATGGGTGGTTCAGGTGTAGGAGAGGAAAAAAGGAATATATCCTCATAAAAAATTACATCTCTAGAAATGAAAATGGTTCTAGATTGAAGATTCAAATATTTGTATCCTTTCTTGCCTAAAGAATATCCTATAAACACACTTTTGACTAATCTAGATTCAAGCTTTGACCTATGATGAGGTAAGGTAGAAGCATAACATAGGCAACCAAAACATTTAAAAAAAATTATAAGATGGAACTTTTCCAAAAAGGATTTCATAAGGTGTTTTGGAATTAAGTACTCTGGAGGGAAATCTATTGATTAAAAAGGTAGCAGTTAACAAACAATCACCCCCAATACATAGTAGGGAGTTTAGACTGAAATAATAGAGCCCTACATGTCTCTAGAAGATGTGTTGTGTTTTCGTTCAACCACTCTATTTTGTTGCGGGGTAGCAATACAAGAAGTTTGATGAAGGATTCTATTAGAGGAGAAGAAATTTGAAAGGATGGATCCTGATCCTAATTCCAAAGCATTATCTGAACGAATGATTTTGACTTTTGTTGCAAACTGCCTTTCCACCATTATTATAAAAGATTGTAATACTGGAAAAACATTGCTTTTTATTCTTAAAAGGTAAGTCCAAGTTCCTCTACTATAATCATTTACTATCGTCAAGAAATATCTATAACCATCATGAGTTGGTACCTTGTAGGGTCCCTAGGTATCAACATGAATGAGTTGAAAATTGAACTTGTGTTGATATTGCTTGAATGAAAAGACAATTTTGCCTGCCTAGCTTGAGAACATATATCACAAGGATAATTAAATTTGGTCAGAGAAGGAAACTAAAAACTGGATATATTTTGCATACTAGATAGAGGCATATGCCCCAACCTTTTGTGCCATAGGCTGATATTAGAATGGACTTTAGCTGTTCAAGAAACTAAATGAGAGACAAAGTCTTTCCTAAAGTTATTACAAGCCGGATAAGACTGAAAAACTGATGGACTTGCATAAGCTGGTCCAGGACTTAGAGAAGCTGGATTAAGTAGATATAGTCCTTCCTTCATTTTAACAATTACCACTAGCCTCTTCAGTGAATGGCCCTGCAAGAATGTACCAAAAGATGAAAAAAGTAAGGTACATGTGAGTTGTTGAGTGAGTTTGTGAACTGGAATTAGGTTAAATCTGAAATCTGGAACATATAACACATTGTGTAGGGTTAAATCTTGCAGAACATGCACACTACCAACTTGACTAACCTTAACTTTATATGAATTTGGGAGATTAACATACAAAGATTTGGTTAGAGATTTCACATTGAATAAAATGGAATACTCAAAAGTCATATGTTCTGAAGCCCCTGAATCTATTATCCAAGAGGTAGAATCCATGTAAGGGAATCAAGAAAGACAATATAGGTTAGGAGCAATGATTGTTTTACCAGCACAGTTGGCACTAGCATTTGCATTAGAAATCTGCTCACCCTTTTGGCCAACCTTCACCTGCTGAAGAAGCTGGTAGAGCTGACTTAGCTGCTCTTGAGTGATGACCTTTCATGATATATTTCCTTCCATTATGTTGATTGTGTTTTCTTTATTCATTATTGCTGCATTGCTGTGAGGACCTCCTTGATACCTTTCGGATTTGGTAAACTTGAAAGTGGAGGAAAACCCAATGATTCTATAATATTTGTCAATGGAATGTCCAAGTTTCTTGCAATAGTTGTACATTAGGTTATGCTTCTTTCCTTAAAGAGTTGCTTTGAACTTTCCTTCTGTATTAGCATATTTCTGAAAAGTGGGTAGCTGATTTTGTACCAGGAAAGCAGTCTAGACTGGATGTTGTGCAACATGAATTTCCCTTTGTTTCTCATCTTGAATGAGAAGAGAATATGCTTGATTGACACTAGGAAGGGGAGTAATCATCAGAATGTTGCTCCTCACAGCTGAGTAGGTATCATTAAGCCCCATGAGAAATTGAATGAGCCTACCATCTTGAAGGGATTTCAAGGTTCTGGACTTTCCTCCACAGTCACATTCACAGGTGCAGTGTTCACAAGTATTCAAGGTATCTAACTCATCCCAAATCCTTTTTACCTTTGTATAATATCCTGCCACATCAGAGGTTCCTTGCACTAGATCATTTAACTCCTTTTGTAACTGGTAAAGTTGAGCACCATTGCATTGTCCAAATCTAATCTCAAGCTATTTCCAAATTTCATTGGCAGTTTTAGAATAAAGGACACTTTCAGCTATGTCCTTAGACAGAAAGTTCAAGAGCCATGATATAACTATATCATTGCAACGATTCCACTGTTTGAAGTCAGTGGAAGAAGAATCAAGTTCAGAATAAATTTCATCGATAAAACCAAGCTTGTTCTTGGCAGATAGTGCAATAACGATGGCTCTATGCCATCCTCCATATCCCTTTCCATCAGAGAGTGAGTTGACAAAAATCATGCCTGGTGAATCAGATGGATAAAGATAATAGGGGTAAGAGGAATCGATAACCACAACAGCTGGTTGAGTGGCTGTGTGAACAGCAGAAACATTGGAGGAGTTATCAGCAGAATTTGTTGCCATTTGAAATGGAGAAAGAAAAGGCAGATAACTGGAAAAAAAATGTAGACTAAAATTTCAGATAGCTACTGCTCTGATACCATGTAGGAGTATAGAAAAATTATTTTTTCATTGATGATAATCTTCTGTACAATGTGTATATTTATACAAGTATTTGAAAGACAATAGAGGACAACTAAAACTATATTTAATTAGAAGTGCTTAATTCCTATATTTTTGCCCATAATTACATGTATTTGCCCATAACTCTTTGTAGTTTACATTTGGATAAGATAGTTCTGGAAGGTTTGAGTGCCTTGTAGCTGTATCCAATATGCTACATGAAGTGGACCGGATTTTGGGCTGCAGTAATGGGCCCAGTTCTTTATTTGTATTGGGTTGCTAACTTTGGCCCAAATGGGTAATATATCCGATAGACCCATATATGGTCTTCTAGGTCATTTGACACATTGCTTGGCCCTTTCTCTTTCTTCGTCTTCAATTTGTATCGCCTATTTTTTGCCCAAAGGTTTCTGGTCCAACAAATATATGGGCAATATAAGCTAATAAGTTCCCGACCTTATCTCATTTTTTTAAATATAAAATTTACCATTTTAAACCATAATAGTTAATTCTTAGTCCTATAAGTATTCTCATTTCATTTATAGCCTTTTTGGCCAATTTTTTTTCTTTTAAAAAAGTGCTTTGTTTCCAAATTTGAAGTGTTTGGCCAAACTTTTAGGAAAAAAAAAATGGTTGCTGAGGATAAATAGAAAAAATGTAGTAGCTTATTTCAAGAAGTACTTTTTTGACAAGTACTTTTAAAAAAAATATTACTTTTTTAAAGCTTGCCAAATACTAATTACTATTTAGAAGTATTTTTTAAATTAATTAGCCAAACATAAAATGCTTATCCGCAAAAATACTCTCGAAAAAAATACTTGAAAAAAAAGACATTCATTTTTCCGGTAAAATCTAATGAGGTAAGAATTAGTTTGGTATAATGAGGGTGTTGGATAAATTATTTGATTGATTTGCTTATTTAGATAGTGACATTGATTCTTATCAACTTTGAATTGCAGCTCAACTGAAGCAAAATCAACAACTACAAGGAGTCAAATTTTCCACCTTCATCATCGATGGCGTCAGTAGGAGGAAGTGCGACGGCGCCTCCACCTCCGCTGCCGCCTAAGGAATCTTTAGTCCGGCGCTACAAGTTCCTTTGGCCTATGATCTTGGCTGTCAATTTGTCTGTTGGAGGTTCCTATCTGACTCCCTTGCTTTCTTCTACTTTACTAAAACTGTATATACATGTCTGTATTCAATCTCCGACCTTTGATCTTTGCTTGAATATATGGTTGTGTGCTCTTTGACTTTCAACTAGCACGCAGTTTTGTGAATTTTTGTTGTAAGCAGGATAGATCCTTAATGTTAGGTCAATTGGTGCATAGGGCTATTGTATGTACCAATTACCATTTTGTGATGGTGCGAATTTAGTGCGTGTGTGTGTGTAAAATTGCTCATCTATATACTCGTTTCAAGCTGAGGGTAGTGGGTTCTTCCAAATACTACATCTGCTTCCCTAAATGCTATGTCCCCTATGTGATATGATACAAGGAATACAACTCCTCTCGTCCTTGAATTTACTCATTGCTTCCCTGGTATTAATTGTCTGAATTGGTAAATATTCTTCCCAGTTTTAGTTTTAGTTTTGTTTTAGCTGATAAAGTTCTCTTCCTTTTTTCATTTGAATGTTCTGTGATTGTTTCAGCTTTAAGTGAAAGCTTAAATGGGGTCCTTGTGGTATTGACAATGTTATGACGTGGAAATTCTACTGCATTTTAGGTTGTTTGTGGTGGACATAGTATTGCCTTCTCTAAAATTTGATTGCTGTCGGATAGAGGCCTAAAATAAATACTCTAATAGAATTGACATTTATATAAACTAGTGGGTCTACTCTTTAGTTTTCACTCCTCCAGTGTACCATTTGCTCCCCGTAAATACACATTGTACTGAAATGAGAAACTCAGAGCTTTCGCTTGATAAATTTTCTAATCGAAGCCACATTGTACTTTAGAAAGACGAAAAGAATGAGAAATCTTGTATACACTTTTATTTGGTGGTTCACTTGGTGATTGTGTTCAAGTTGTAAATGTAGAGAACTAGATAACTTTCTATTTGGATTTTATCTAGTGACTTATAGTCCTTGTGCACTATATGCTTAGGTCTATATTTCCGGTATCTACACTGGTTCAGTTCCGACATCAAGAAATCATAGTATATCTAACTTATACTCCGAGGGATGGACATTCTTTATTCTGTATTGCGCTTTGCTGCAAGTAGATTCTCTTTGTCTTTCACTATATTTCTTTAGGAAAAATTTGTGCTGTAGGATATGACTCTGACGGAGAAGTAGCAAACACTTTATATGTGTAATGAGCATATTCACTTTTTAAGAAGTGAATCTTTTTGTTTGGTTACAACAAGTCAGAACATTGGGCTTTGTTACTTCTCATATCTTAGTTCAATGTCGCATGTTATCTTCTGGAAAGATGTGTGACTATGATGATAAGTTAACCTGTAATCTTTTGTCACTCGTGCATTCTTTACATCCTTTGGAGCTGTGCTGCGGTGTCTTTCCAATTCTAATTCGATAACTCACCTTGCTTTTACATTCACGGTACATTAACGTACGCGTTTTTGTAATTTGTGTAGCTTATCTTTTCTTGAGGACCAAAAAGAAAGATGTGGGAACTGAGGCAGGAGAAGTGGTTGATAGTCCTAGTAATTCAGTTTCATCAGCAGCTGCTATTACTGCAGCACCTTCTGTGCAGCCTGCTATTGTTCATGAACCAATTTCAGGAGAACAACAGCGTGAAATATTTAAGTGGATATTGGAAGAAAAGAGAAAACTTAAGCCAAAAGATCCGGAGGAGAAAAGGCGCATTGATGATGAGAAAGCCATTCTCAAGCAGTTTATTCGAGCCAAGTCCATTCCAAGTTTGTAAAGACAGACCCTTCACGTCTTTGATACTAGTAGCGTTTGATTGACAAATATTATAATGTTTTGAGGTTGGATTTCCCCTTTTTCTTTTTTACTGCAAAGATGGCGTTGAATCAATTTGCTTGGACTATAAGTCCGACATAGGATATATCTGAATGGCTTTTGTAAGAAAACTGTAAATAGAGGTGCTTTTCTTCTTTATATTAATACGAATGCACAAGTGTGAGTAAGTTTTAATCTCATAATCATTTTTACTCTCTCTTGTATTGTTCCATTCGTTGAATGTTGCTCCACTAATTAGAGGTGGACATGGTGAAACATAAGATAGTAGTCAACTTTCTTTTGACATGTGAAGCTTGTTCTAAACCATCGAAACAATACGGTGCTATAATATTACTCCCTCCGTTTCAATTTATGTGAATCTGTTTGACTGAGCACGGAGTTTAAGAAAAAATGAAGACTTTTGGAATTTGTGGTCCTAAACAAGTCAAAAAGGGGCCAGAGTATTTGTGTGGTTATAAAAACTTCCCATTAAGGGTACAATTGTAAGTTTAAGCTAAATTATTACCAAATTTAGAAAGACGACATTCTTTTTGGAACGGACCAAAAAGGAAATAGGTTCACATAAACTAAAACAGAGAGAGTATGTCTCTGAAGTAAAACTGAAGTGGAAATGGCTTTAAAGCACCAAATATTTGAGCTAGCTTAGACTAGTATCAATAGTCTTCTCTGGATCCAATTTACTTATGCAGTATAATGCTATTAGTTGAGCCACAGCCTGTTCTCTTCCGCTATGGTTTGATTCGCTCTTGGTGCTTTTAGGACATGCTCGGTTGGGGAAAAATTGACCTACACTCAGTGTTTGTACTAATTTAATAAATATATAATTTGTGTATTTTAAATAAACTTTAATCTTCCCATGCAAGGGTCGGGAGAAGGGCCCCACTCTAAGAGGTGATGTAGAAGGCTACCCTAACGCAAGCACAATTCCACTTGTATCTTCTTAAAAGAAAGTAAACTTTTACTATAAGTTCCTGAGTGTAACTTTTTATATTGAATGGTGCTAAGAAAACAATAGTAAGAATTTTAGCACAGGGAACTAAGTGATACATTTAGGACCAGCAAGAAGGTGGGTGGCCTGAGATAATATTTAGCAATTAGGGCGCGAGAATATTTTTTGGTAAGCTTGGCGTTTGTACAAATGTAAGTATGTTGTCTCTAAACAATCACAGACGAGTGAGGATTGCTCTACTGGTAGAACCACCGCTCCACTTTTGACCATAAGGTTTGGTTCGAGCCACAAAAGGAAGAAAAAACAATGACCACTGTTGATCCTAGTGAAGGAGCCTATGGTGGACTAAGCGGAACTGCAAACATTAGTGAGAATCCAATGCCTCAAAAACCTAACGTTTCGTTGAGAAGTAAGACAGGTCTCAATGCAAAACTTACACTAATATGCCTCACTTCTATACAGTGGCTTGATCTGCTGCTAAAGCAGCAAATATACGTTTGTTAACAAGAGTCAGTACCAAGCATTTATAGATGGCCTGAAAATGCAGTCCTATGATTATCCCTATCCCAAATAATGGAAGGGCTCCTTTTGTCAAATGATAGCTTTGGACTTAATCCCTCCAATCCATCATTTAGTATGGAGCCACTGTACCTTTGATACTGTATGTGGTGATCAGACAAAATCCTTCCACTTTGGCTTCCCACATCATACCTAGGTGTAGTAGACAATTGACCAGATTCCATAATCAGGTCACCTTCAAGAATTCTAAGTACCTGACACAAAAACAAACAATACATGAGAATCCAGACATAGTTGACTCACATTTTGCTGCAGGTAAAAGGTCAATACAAAATTATAAGTAGCAATTAACTTACCTGAGACATGCGAGGCCTAGCCTGAGGATCTCGTCGTATGCACAAAGATGCAGCATGCAACATGCAACACACCTTGTGCTCTGAGTAGCTGTTTCCTAGTCGGGGATCTATTAGCCCATCGATTGCACATTCTTCCAACAAGGGACGTGCCTGAAGATAAATGAATGACAAAATCACTGATTTTTTTAAGAGAAAAAGAGACGAGGGACCAGCATAGCCATACTATTCCTCAAGCCAGAACTGAAAGATGCATATTAAGATGTTGAAGTATTACCCATTCTGTGAGACATTGCTGGCCCTTAGGCCTGGTAATATCCACTGCTTTTCGACCAGTTACAAGTTCTATGAGCACCACTCCAAGTGAGTAAACATCAGCTTTTTCAGTAATCTGGCCACTTTGAGTATACTCGGGAGCCAAGTACCTAAATACAGAAAATAAGCTTAATGTTTCTGCAATTGCATATTTGAAGTAAAATACAAAAAATATTTCAAGGCCTAACCCAAACGTTCCGAGTACTCTTGTTTCAACACCTGTATCACCATCCGGTTGCCATCTAGCTAAACCAAAGTCTCCCACCTAGAAAGCAAACAAAGGTGAAGCAAGATTAATACAGTTCAAGTGCTGCTTCGATAAAGGGTAGACATCTAAAGCATTGTACTGCAAGAAAAGCAACTCATTTTTAAGCTTCAAAAGCAATCAAGCGTCAATATTTACAAAAACAAGTGAAAACAAAATTGATATATCGACAAGAGGTTGACAAGAAAAGGATGCAAGTGAGAATACTCTAGTAGTCAAAAGTCCAGGAGATAGCTTTCAAAATTTTATTGCCTACTACTTGTCCATTTTATCCACTCATTTCATTTTGTCTCACCAAAGAGGTCCATAATACATCTGCTTGTTAGAGTTCTAAAACCGCACGAATTAAAGGGCAGCTCGGTGTACTAAGCTCATGCTATGCGCGGGGTCGGAGAAGGGTCGGACTACAAGGATCTATTATAAGCAGCCTTACCCTGCATTTCTGCAAGAGGCTGTTCCACGGCTCGTATCCGTGACTTCCTGGATTGAGTTTAAGAAATTGTTATAGGACCTTTGATGCTAACAAAGTTGATTTCATCTCAAAAGGTGTTGCTTCTTTCGTTGTTTTTGTCTTCCAATCAGTCGCGTGAAAAACAATGGAGAAGCTCTAGGAATATGTTTGTTTGTTATAGTCCATCTATATCAGTTGAGCTTGGAGAGATTAGGATATATACTTGATGAGACCATCTATATCAAGGATACAACTAAAAGAAATGCTTCTGAGTAAGAGATTTTCCATACTAATGGTTCAAAGTCATGTGTGATGAGAATGTTGTTGGGTCTCATGTCCCGGTGGACAATGCATCCCACTCTGCACTCTTCATGAAGATATCGCAAACCACGTGCAGCTCCAACAGCAATCTTTTGACGTGCAGACCACTCCAAAGGGTCCCTATTATGTCCTGCAAATACCAGAAAGTGATGTTAAGTAATACATAAAGGCAAAAAGACCAATCCTTAAAGTGAAACGAACAAACCCTTTTCTGAATCTTTTTGTGTCTGTAAGTTCTCTTTGGTGAAAGTTCTACTTCTTATATCACCAAATAATAAGTACATGCTCTACATATCCAAACAGTACATCTTTGTTGACACTTTTAATTTGTTCTAATTTTTTTATCAACAGATCAACAAAGAAAATTTATAAGGAGAAAATATGACAGGTTTTCTTATATTAGTGCAAACACACATCTATATCACCATTTAGTAACCCTGTCAACCTAAAAGAAGTCCATTTATTGGCTGAAGCAAAATCAGTACATTCATCACAGTGTATAAGGACATAAAGAAACATGAGTACACATACCATATAGATGAGAATCTAAAGAACCATTGCATATATATTCATATACTAGCAATCTTCTCCTGTCCTCAATGCAGAATCCTATCAACATGACAACATTACGGTGCTGAGCACAGCTGAGCACTTCAACTTCCGAGCAAAATTCTTGATCTCCTTGAGAACTTGCCAATTTATGTTGCTTGACAGCAACAACTTGACCGTCTGGAAGGACTCCTCTGTGAACAGATCCATATCCTCCCTCGGCCAAGAAATTGGCTTGTGAAAATCCTCCTGTTGCAAGCTCCAGTTCAGTATAAGTGAACCACCTCGGAGGTTTCCCAAATACAGGTGCCTTGTGTTGGCATATTGAACACAAGGGAGGGGCGCCAAGAGGTGCACTTCTGGTTAATGGACTCGGTGATCCACTACCACCTTCTATATCAAGCTTAGTCAACTTCTCCAGCAATGACTTGGTTGTAGATATTTGAGACCTGTCAAAAGATCTAAGTGAGCTTCCCTGGAGTTGAGAGAGTTGACTATGTGAATCGACACTGTCCACTATCGACGATTGGAATCTTGAACTTGAAGAAGCTAGACTTTCACTCTCACTCTCTGAACTTGAATCATCTACATCTTGATCTTCCTTTAAGGCTAACAACTCTGCTTTGTGCAAATCTCTATTTACTTCAGTGATCAAGAATGGTGAAGTTCCAGGATCAGAACTTGAAACTGATGAAGTACCGGCTTCAGTAGCACTAAACATCTCTGGACTACTTGTTGGTGTGACTAGTGGACCTCTACAAGAATCCAATGAATTGTTTTTTTCTACTTCTTTTCCGCAAGATTGAGCTTGCTCTGAAGGTAATGAGCCTCCAACATCAGGTTCCTTTTTAGGTGAACCAACTAAATTTAGGCGGAGAACTTTTGGTTGAGATCGCTTCATTACTACGATATTGCACTGCAGCTCTTGCATACAGCATTTCTTCTCATGTTTGAGATGTCTGGAAAAGTTGAAACAAGAATCAGCAAATAGCTTAGAGAAGATAGAGAATAAAAAGAACATAAACAAGGAACCACACTCTTAAAACTTGTAAACTTACTTGTCCAAAACAACCCAATTAGCTTTAGTCCTCTTTGCCTCAGCAGCCACAGCTCCATGTGGTGAACCAGAAACAATTTTAATCTTCACGTTTATCTGGCGGACATGAAATGGACGGAAAAAACCAAGTTTTTAGTATGTCAGTGTGAAAGTACCTCATAACAATCTGCACAAAAAAAGAATTTTGGCACTAACCTTAGTAGGATCATAGACATCTTGGAGCTGAAGGATCATCTGAGAGTAGGAATCTGTTAAGTCTAACGTTCGCTCAGTACTATTTCCAGAATTTGACTTCCTGTGACCATTGGCACAATCTCCAGCAAACCTGGGGAAACCCCACAGCTTTCTACCTAGAAAATGTTTGTGAAAACCACTAAAGATATGTACAACATCCAGTTACTAGATTCTTTTGTGGAAGCATAGGAACAAAAAGCACCAGGTGTTTACTTGACATGGCATATAATAATTCAATAAAGATGCTTAATGAAAGCCCTGTAGAAATGCAGAAATCCTCCTTTAAGGATTATATATCCTAATTTTGCTGCCTTTCCATTCTTACAGAAGCCAAGAGCAGCTTAGTTTAAAAACAGCTATAAGTAACAGAAATCGCTAGACGAGTCTTCAAGGAATTTGCAGTTCAGCCTCAGTAAGGAGACAAGAGAATGTCAATCAGACAAGAGCATAAAGATCAAAGCCCAAGATTTTTGTTCAGTTTCCGAGAAATCCGGATGTTCAATCAGGCAACACTTTTTTGTATCAAATCTAAAAGTATGTAAGAATCTTAATTGCTATGTTCTGTAGAAATTCCAGGATAACAACTGACATTGTGAGAAGAAGCCAAAAACATTCAAAATTCCCTGTGACAAAGTTATGAATGATGGTTTCTCGTTTACTTTATTTATCTGTAATTGACATATACTTTAATAATAGATGTTAGTACCTACATATACGAAGTTATGAATAATGGTTTCTCTTTTATTTTATTACCACCAAAGGTTGTGGTGTGGTAAGTACCCCTCGCTCCTTTAACTAGAGTCCCGAGAATAGAGTCGCATTTGGTAAGGAATGCTTTACCCCAAAGTGGGACTTTTCACGCAAATCCGGATTAGTCGGGCCTCAAAGTGGATATCTAAGTACCGGGTGGGAAACCAAAAGAAAAGTAGATTTAGTACTTCACAATGAGACTGAAGGGAATGGAAATAAGTTAGAAAAATTACCAGAACTTTGTGAAGGTACAACCACAACAAGTGTAATGCAATCTCCAGGTTGAACAACATGAGTCAAAGCCCACAAAAGAGCAGTCTTAGGTATCTCTTTTGATGCCTTAACAGCCACCATAACTTTCTCAGCAACATTACAACTCTTATCCTCCTGCTTCTTTTCCTTTTTCTTCACTTCCCTAGTACTCATTGCCCCAGAACAGTTTCCAAACCTTTGCCTTTTAAACTTTCAAGAACAAAACTTTACATGCATTATTGCTGACATTTCAAGAAGAGACCCTCCAGAGACAACTGATAAGTCCCTTTTTAACAACTTAAGCCTAGGAATTTCTCAAGAAACTCAAGGTAAAAAGGAAAAAGATTGAACCTTTGTTCTATAAGTTTTATCCTTTTTTTCTGGTGAGAGAAGAGGTTGTGGTCAAGATTCTGAGACAAATTGAAGTACATAAAGAAGATCACTTTGTGAAATCTATGCAAAAAAAGAATTCCAAATTTAGCAGCAAAACAGCACCAATAATTCAGGAAAAAGACTTCTTTTTTTGGACATGTTCTACTGAATCCAAAAGACTTGACAGAAGCTGAAACTCAACTACTCAATCGTGGTCCAAATTTTATCATATGCTATAATATGAATGAACTGTTCTTGCACATGATTTCTGAAAAAAATGTACAATTCAAATGACAGTGAACTACAGCCAAAAGCTACTTCTTTTATATTAGGCTGCTTTCAAATAGCAGAGTCAAAATTTGTGCAAAAAAACTCAGGTGATAGCTGACCTTTTTCTTATGCCTTTTATCACAAAAATGGAATGCAAGGAAGTGAGTAATTCAGAATCCTATGGAGAAAAACATTAATTTAAGCAGTTTCCTCAGCTTCTTTTACTATTACAAAATGCAAGAATCCAAATGAAGCAACTACCTAATGTCTAAAGGACACAAGATTTCTGCTTAAATATATCGGAGCGGTTGTTTTAAAAATACAATATTATCATCAAACAGTTCAAAAAAAGGAGGGATGTGGTTGTTTAAAAAATACTAGCACCTCCGTGTTGGTTGAAAATGGGCCGGTCAGATCGGATACGAGCGGCTCCATGCAATGTAGTTTGACTTTGGACACGAAGTTTAAAAAAAAAGATTTGACATGTAATTAAAGAACTCATAGAATTTGTAATATTAAATACAAACTAGATTTTTTTATAACTACAATAACATATGTAAAATAAAAAATTTAAAGTTAAGAAGTCTTTATGTATAACCAGACCTTTTTATAATAATTGTCCTTTCTTTGACATGAATTTTCTTCCTATATTTTACTTCTCTTTAATAAATTTTTACGAATAACCTTACCTCAATTATTATAACGGTAGACTCCACTATAAAATGAGGTATTTTCACTTTTAGCCCGCGTGAGAAACTATTTACGTTATGTAATTGAAAAAGTGTATAAAATTTGTATAATTCTTATTTATAACATACATAACGCGTATATATATATATATNACACCCTTATTCCAAATTTTATGTATATTTTATTATTTTTTACTAATATAATAAAAAAAAAAATTATTAAATCTACACATATCTATCATTCTCATCTTGTTGTTTGCTCTACTTTCACGTCAAAGCATCTAAAAACGACATACTGAAAGAGAAAAACATACATTTATTTCAAAAACTTGTACGGTTGCCTGCTAACAGGGACCTCAGAGAGCAGAAGAAGGAAACAAGCATTAAACTAAAAAAGATTTCGAAACTTCAAATTTGAACAACCTCAACTACTCAATCTTAAAATGGACAGAGGTTGGTGCCTATTTCTGATGAAGGAATAATGGGGTTTACCAATATTGGTAAAAAGTACTCCTATTTGCTGCTACAGTCATTTATATAATTAAATTTTAAATTTTAAATTTTTTATTTTTTTCATGTCTGTACTTGGTTCAACATATTGTCATTGACTAATTATTTATGTATTTTAGTTTGACCGGATATAGAGTTTTAAAAAGTAAGAAAAATTATTAAATCTTGTATTTTAAACTAAAAATATATGCAATGTATCAAAATATTTTTGAATCTTGTGATCTTAAATATGTCATGTGAAAAGTAGAGTTAAAGAGTTGCAAAATATAATTTTTTTTTTTTAAACAGACTAAAAAAGAAAGTAAGATACATAAATTGATATAGTTAGACATGTCCTGCCATGTTCTCTCCTTATATAACTCATTATAATTATTCTTTTAATTATATGACATATTTCACAAAAAATCTTTATGTTTAGACGTAGAAAATTAATAATAAGAAATACAAAAAAATATTGAATCATTTCCTTTTATTCACATTGTAACGAAGTGTTTTGTATTCATTCCTTTCTCATAAAATACATTTCAAGATTAGGGAGAGTATAGCGGGGTTTCTCAAGGCACGAAATTTAATATGTATATAGTCATGCATATCATGTTTGAATTAGGGGTGGGCATAAAATCCGAAAAATCGAATTTCGAACCAAACTGAATTAATTTGGTATTTCGGTTTCGGTTTTTTCGGTTTATTTCGGTACAAAAATTTCGGTATTTCGATAATTCGATTCGGTATACGGTATTGGATTTTTGATATTTCGGTATACCAAAATAGTTTAGTCCAAGCCCAACTTTGTTTTTAATTTTTAGCCCAATAACCTTAAGCCCACACCCCAAATTCCAAAGAGGAATCGACATGGGTGAGCACTTTTTAAAAATTATTTAAGAAAATAATAATATTCTTTATTTATTACATAAATGAAAGATTATTTTTATACTAATGGCATATTATAAAGATTAAGCAAATAATTAATGACCAGACAAGATGCATAAATCATGCGACATTCTCTGCCATCTTAAAGAACTTTTGACATACTTCCTTGATCCGGCAATATCCAACATTGAAATGCATCCTATGGTGTTTCATGCGTTCCATTATTCTATAGGATTTTGATGGTTTATGTTAGATATATTATACGTATATATCTATCACTATATGGAATATACCTGTTTATATATGTACATTATGTCATTTATATATGTTGTATATAATAGTACTATATTATACAAAGTGAAATTCATACAACTATATAACATAGTCCAAACATATAGTAATATTTATACGATAAATATACCACAAACTGAATTATAACATATAATATACTCCAGAATTTTTATATCAATATTTTGGCGGAATTCTTAATATATAATATTTATACCGATATTATTCTGTAAATATTTATTTCTAAGTATGTATGTATCTTATACCATTTATATAATTAAATATGCAATATACTATCATTATTCCATAAATATAAAATGAAATTATTTCATTATTATACCTTTTATAATATTAAATGTTGCTAATTAAATATGTAATATACCAAAAACTACGTTTGGTGGAAGTCATTCATGCGAGAAATTAGGAATAGATTGTGGAGAATTGGTTGATCCATGGCAGAAGAAATAAACAAGATATTTCAGTTGTTTGCTTCCTATTAGTTAATGGAGTGAGGGAGATAGTGAAAATTTGGTTTAAACCGAACCGTACCGAACCAAAATAAGAAATACCGAACCGTACCGAAATACTTTAGTACGGTATTTGGTATACACAATTGATAAACCGAATACCGAACCAAAATTCTTAAATACCGAACCAAAATACCGAATGTCCACCCCTAGTTTGAATGGTCGACTACTTCTTCACACTATTAATTATTCTCTTTTGTTTAAAATTATTATACCTAGATAGTTTCATTCGGTATGTGGGTGTCCAGCAGTCTAGGTATATATTAAAAGATATATTAATCACATTTGTGTGATGACCTGATAGGTCATTTATAGTTTTACTCTTTATTTATATGTAGACCTCGAATAGCTCCGTTTAGCTTTTCTCAATTTTCGTGCGCAGTCCGTGTCCTTTTTTCGAAAAGTTTTTATGAGAAAATTGATAAAAATGTGAAATCGTGCCTTAAAAACTCATTTGAGTTGACTATGGTCAACGTTTTATGTAAACGGACCAGGATCAATATTTTGACGGTCCGGGTGGGTTCATATCGTGATTTATGACTTGGGCGTATGCCCATAATCGAATTCGGAAGTCCCTAACTTGATTTAATATAATTTGTTGAAAACTAGAAATTTAAAGGTTTAAAGAATTCCTAAGTTTGACTGTAAGTTGACTTTGTTGCTACCGCATCCGGATTTCGATTCCACAACTTGGTATAGGTTCATTTTAGTATTTATGACTTGTTTGCAAAATTTGGTGCAAAACGGAGTTGATTTGAAGTGATTCGGACGTCCGGTTGTAAAGTTACATGTTCTTGAGTTTCTTTGAAAATATTATTCTTTTTGATGTCTGATTGATAGTTCTAGGTGTTATTTTGGTATTTTGATCATGCAAGTATGTTCCTATGATGTTATTACACTTGTGTGCATGTTTGGTTTGGAACCCTGAAGGCTCGAGTGAGTTTCAGACGCGTTTCAGAGAGTTTGGTAGTTGCTGGTGAGACCTGGTGTGCAGGTCTCGCAAATGCGAGATCAGAGGTCGCAATTGCGACATATGGCCAAGTGTGAGACGATCGCAATTTCAAACATCTTAGTCGCAATTGCTAAGATGGCTTGGGGCAGCAGGGATCGCATTTGCGATTAGTTGATCGCTTTTGCGACCTGTCCGCGTTCGCATTTGCGAACATATCATCGCAAATGCGATGACAACAAAGATGTGGGGAGTTCGCATTTGTGGTTGCTTCTTCGCATTTGCGGGGTTCGCAAATGCGAACCCCAGGTTGCATTTGCGATATCTGTGCCTTGACAAATAGCTGAGGGACGGGATTTTAGCCTCACTTTTCATATTTTGAAACCTTAAACACCCTAGGAGCGATTTTCTAAGAGAATTTTCTTCCCAAAAACTTTGTTAAGCAACTTTAATCTATTTCTTTTCAATTACCCATTACTTTCCAAGTGTTTTCAATATTAAATCTAGGATTATCATGGTAGGAATTAGGGATTTGGGTAGAATTTAGAATTTTTGTAAAATTGAGATTTAGACCTCAAATTGAGGTCGGATTTCGAAATTAATTACATAACCGGGCTCGAGGCTGAATGGGTAATTGGATTTTGGTCCGAATCTCGGATTTTGGCCAAGCGATTCCATGGTTGACTTTTCTTGACTTTTTAGGAAAAGTGTAAAGATCTTAACTTTATGTATTGTAATTGATTTTTCTAGCATTGTTTGTTTGATATTAAGTTGATTTTGGTAAGCTTCGGTTGGTTCGGAGGCGAATTTTATAGGAAAGGCCCCAGTTGAGCTTTGATTTGCTTGTAGAGCGAGGTAAGTGTTGGGTCTAACCTTGATTTGAGGGAGTTAGGGACCCTTGAGCTATGTGCTATGTAAATTACATGTCTAGCAGCGTATATGCGACGTGACGAGTGTATATACGCCATCAAAATAGTTGTTTTCTTGCTTTCCCATATTTCATTAATTATCTCATTCCATGCCTTAAGTGTTACATGGATTAGTTGCTTTCTATGCCTTAACATGTTACTTATCACCTATTACTCTTCTATTGAAATACTTGTTTCTTCCATGATTAATTGTTACTTGCCTTACTTGTCTTACTTGTACAATTTAATTGTCATATTTTCGGCTTGTCTTGTTACTTTGTATTAATTGTAGCATTCATTGATTTGGTACGAGGTTCCTTTATGGCGTTGCTTTTATATTCTTTAATCGTAGAGATTCTTGTGATTTGAGTTGTTGAGTTGATTACATTTATTGATTTACTTATGGATCGGGTTGCACGCTGGAACATGTGGAATAAGGGAGGATTGATTTTGATATGGTGGGATCGGATTGCACGCCACAACAGATTTTATACGTGATTTGATATGGTGAAATAAGAGAGGATTATGATATTGATTCTGATTATATGGTGGGATCGGGTTGCGCGTTGCAATGGGTTTTACATGTTATTCTTGATATTAATACGGTGAAATAATGGAGGATTGATATTGATATGGTGGGATCGGGTTGCGCGCTGCTACGGATTGTGTGTTTTGTATTCATTGTTGTATTATGTTAGCTTTCAGTGCTTTCATACGAGATTTCTAAGTACTGGTGT